TTCCTCCTCCTTCTCCTCCTCCTCCTTCTCCTCCTCCTCCTTCTCCTCCTCCTCCTCCTCCTCCTCCTCCTTCTCCTCCTCCTCCTCCTCCTCCTCCTCCTTCTCCTCCTCCTCCTTCTCCTCCTCCTCTCCTCCTCCTCTCCTTCTCCTCTCCTCTCCTCCTCTCACCCCTCTTCCAACATTCTTTCTCATAGCCGACCTCCTCTTCATGATTTCTTGTTCAGGCAATTCATTTCATCGACAAGAGTTCCAGAGGAGGTGTGAGGATTTGGAGGATGCGGTGGTGGTGGTTGGAGCAGGAGCAGAAACAGGAGCGGGAGCGGGAGCTAGGGCAGGAGGATGAGAAGAGTGGAGCTGAACCCTTTGCAGAGGAGGAGAAGCCCTGCAAACGATGATCTCTTGAAGGAGACTGAGGAAACGATGAATCTCAAGCAGTTTCTTTCTCTTCTCAAGCGCAAAGCTCTCATCCCTGAGGTTAACCTCTTCCTGCTCCTACCGCACCCTCCTGCTCCTCTTACTCCCTCCTCCTCCCCGCCCCCTCCTGCTGCTTTTGTTTCCTCCTCCTCCTCCCGCTGCTCCACTTCCTCCCTTCCAATCTTCGCGTCCTTCTCTCGCCTGATCCACCTGGACGGACAGGTCCTGAAAGAGGAAGAAGCAGTCTCCTCCTTCCGCAGGGTGACCCTCCTCCTCCTCCTTCCCCCTCCTCGTCATGACCGGGGGCTGCAGGTTGCGCGAGAGATAGAGCGAGAGCATGGGAGCGAGCTCTGCATCAACACGGAATCATTCAAGAAGCTCATGTACAATGCCATGGTGCGCAAGGTAAACCCCCCCCGTTCCTCCTCCTGCCCTTCTGCTCAAAGTCTGACGGTCGTCTGATGGCAGGGCCTTCTCTCCGACTCGCAGGCTGAGGAGGAGGAGGAAGAGGAGGATGGAGAGGAGGAGGAGAGTGACATGTCAGAGCTCGAGCGATGAAGTTCAATAGGTTACGGAAGGGTCTTGATGGAATGAAAGCCGCTTACTGAGTGCCCTACGTGACTGATTTTTAACTTAACTTTGAGTAAACGCCCTACGGGCTGCCGGCAGTCGGGCTGGCCGGACCGGCGTGGCTTCACGCAGCGGCCACCCGGGCCGGGCCGGGCCGGGCCCCGACAGTCGGACTCGATCGGACTCGGTCTTACAGATAGAAATTGACCTCGTCCCCGCTCAGGACCAAACTCCTCAGCACGATGCAGAGCACGATGCAGAGCACGATGCAAGAAGCATGGCTGGTGGGTAGGAGAGGCCCAGGGGAGGTGGAGGGAGAAGCGAGCTGAGGAAGAAGACGGAGAAGATCAGAAGGAGAGACAAAGAAAGATCTTGAGGAAGAAGATTGAGGCAAATGTGCTCTATCTTCGCCTGGACTTGTTAGCTTGACAACCAGTTTCAAGCAGAAAACATGTCCGCTGTGAGGGATTTCGTAGAGGTTGGCTCGTTGCTGGGCATGGGGGTTGGGATCGGTCTTTTGTGCTCAAAGATTGGAGGGGCTGTGATGGACTTCATCGGGATAGCTTCAACCTGGATGCTCTTCTTCGCCGCTGGCTGGCTGTTCCTTGCCCGAAAGATCATGAAGGACCATGAATCCAGGGCGTTCCTGGTGCAGACACTCTTTTCAGCCACCTTCATGGTCTCGTGCTCCATGTTCAGCCTCGTGCTCTTCGAGGTTCTAGACGTCCTCTCTCATGATGCCCGATGGTGGGCATGGAAGTTCGACCTCATAACCGTCACCGTAGTCCTCATCTTCCTGCTCCCCTACTCCTTCTTCTACCTCGTCTTCCGCAACATGGAGTGGCCATGGCAGCAGAGCGTGTATCTCGCTTGCGCGCTGCTGGCCATGTATCTCTGGGTCTTCTACACCATAACCAACAGCCTCCCCATCGTGGGTCAATCAGGTTCCTTCGTGGTGATGGGGATCTCGAGGCTGGGGGTGCTAGGGGTTACTGCCATGGCGATCACGTCGGGGTTCGGTGCGGTCAACAATCCTCGCAACAGCCTCACCTACTTCCTGACGCCAGTGAGCGAGCAAGACCTGCAGATCCTTGAGAAGAGGCTGATGAAGACGATGGAGATGATATGCTCTAAGAAGAAGCTCATTCTCATGACCAGGAACGAGCTCCAGAAGAAAGGGCAGGGCGTCAAGGCCGGAGGTGGAGGATGGAAGGACAAAGTCGGTGGTTTCTTGCAGAGCGTCACTGGAGCAAGTGACGACAAGTCCTCTAGGCAGAACCTGCAGATTCTCAAGCAGGAGGTGCAAGGGATGGAAGAACTGAGCTCGCAGCTCTTCGAGGAGCTGCACGACATGAGGCTGGCCAAGGACAAGTTCCTCTCCAAGACGATTGCAGGCATGCTGCTCAACTACATGGGATACATATTCTCAGCCTACTGCGTGTACAAGATGATGATGGCCAGTATCAACATCATCTTCAACCGAGTCTCCCAGGTCGACCCTGTGACTCGTGCCCTCTCCATCGCTTTCCTGGCTGTGCAAGGCATACAAGACATGGACGTCGAGCCCGTCGTCCAGAGCATCAGCTTTGTCCTCGTCGGAGTCCTGATCGCTACTTCCATTCGAAGCTTCCTTCAGATCTGGCTCAAGATTTTCCACCTGCAGAATGCTACATACAGCATTCATTATTCCAACATGCTCATCCTGTTCATGGCATGGATGATGGGCATGTATTTCGTGTCTTCCGTATTGTTGATGCGGATGAATTTGCCTCTGATGTATCGCAAGGCAATCACAGACGTTCTCGGAGACATCCAATTCAAGTTCTACCATCAGTGGTTCGACTTTATTTTCATCCTGGTAGACATTGCTCTGCATTTTCTGCAATAACGTTTCTCTTTACAGAGTGCTCTCTTCTTCCTCGCTGTCTTCTACTTCATCGACAACTCGAAGAGTTCGAGAGCTCCGTCGACGACCGAACAAGTCTCTCATATGCAACAGTTCCATATCCACTGAACCCTTTGATAATCCTTGCATGGTCTTTAGAGAAAGCTGAAAAGTCGTTCCCAAAACCATTCCGGATAAGCAATGACGTGGTGAACGTTCACTCCTGGTTGCCGAGGGAGGAAGGAGGTGGCGTACCCCCCAGAGCCCGATCTTCTCTTGTTCGAGCTTCAGACGCGAACCAGCGGGAACAACTTGAAGAGGATGAACATGATGATCGAAGATCCTAGAGGGATAGCCAGGTTGTCGTCCAAGTCGATTGGTCCTCCTTTCCCGTCCACGATTCTTCCGCAGAGAGTCTCTGGGATCGCAGCTGCACAAGACACCGAACGTCAGAGAGCAGGAATGAAGAGAGCATGCGGATATTCATCTCTCAACAAGACATGGGGAGCGTTACCTGCGATTCCTCCTATGAGAGACGCACCGAGCAACGAGAGGGAAGGGCTGAGGCTTCGAAGGAAGTAGAGGAAGGTAATGAAGGAGCAGGCGACAAGACCCCCTAGACTTCCGATGAGGGACTTGCCGTTTGAAAACCGAGGACCCAAAGCGCCCCAGGTCATGCCGCATAGAGAAGCAAAGGGGTCACCAAACGCGAGGAACAGTATGCTGAGTACTGCGATCGGTTTCGGGAAGAACAAGACACAGGCAAGCACCCCTGCAAGGTAAAAAACGATACCACTCCTTCTCTCAATTTCATAGCTCCTTGCCAGCCTTGCAAATAGGCGGAAGAAGAGGATGCTCAAGGGGTGCTTGGGATAGTTTATCCGGAAGGTCTCGGCAACAAAGAACACCAGGAAGCCTGGTGTAAGCAAAAGGAGTGCTACCTCCCTGGATAGCCAGAACTCGTACAACGATGCCATGATGACCCCTGAGGTGCTGTGGAAAATCTTCCGGGACAAGTGCATGTTCTTTTTCGTCTTGAGAGTCTTGGTCTTGAGGCTGTACATGCTTAAGTACGTTTCGTTCAACTGTCCCAAGTTGTCCAGTTCGGGCGTCGGATCCTCACCAAGAGAACAAACCATGGGACGGCGAGGGCTACATACTCGGAACACTGGTGTGAGAGGCCGAGATGCAGCGAGGGAAGCCGGTCGTGACCGTGAAAGAGGAAGCACCTGGGGTTGGAAAGAGCCGTTCGGGCGAACTTGACTCAAGACCATCCCTACAAACAGGACGAGCTTTCGATTCATCATGGCTGAGACAACGAGGCAGCACTGCAAGGTAGATGGACGGAGGACAGAGGACGAGGTTCAGTGCAGATCCTGTCAACGAGCCGATACTGGTGCCAGCAGGAGAAGCTCCAAGGGGGAAGGAGGAGGATCTGCTTTACGACTCCCGGCCGCAGAACAGTTACGACTGTAACTGTCAGACTCGGCCCGGGGCCCGGGCCGCAGCCTCCTCTGAGTGCCTACCGTCGTGGCCCCCGGGACTCAGGCTTCGACTGAAATGGTGATCTGAGGCGGAATGGGCTGCACAGGCCGTACTGAGACAGATAAGTAATAAATCCTCGTAATAAAAGTACTACTACTGTAGGGCCCGATCGGATATCAACTGAGTTGCGACGCGAAGTCAACGATGAGGATGATGGCGGATCATAGAGAAACATGATGTCATGGACTGATGACAGTGAAGAACCGTGACTGAGACTCGAAGGATGGAACGATGATGATGATGATGATGATGATGATGACGATGATGATGATGATGATGATGATGATGATGATGATGATGATGATGATGATGATGATGATGATGATGATGATGATGATGATGATGATGATGATGATATGAGATCAGGCAATAGCAATCTAAACAGCTTTGTGTTCAAAGATACGATCCAGTAATCCGACAGACTCGGGCGGAAGGAGGGACCCATTCTAAATCTTCTTGAAACGTAGGAGAACAAGCGTGCTGCGACAGGAGCCATGATGCCCGTCAGGTATCAAGACGTTATGTCCAGACTCGCGAGGGAGCGAGAGGAGAGAAGGAGTATCAGGTGGAAGAAGCTTTCATGGCGCATGCTTTCATTGAGCCATGTTTCTATGTTTCTCGCAGGGAGAGGATGGAGAGGCTAGCAAGGGATGACGACTGGGTTGGCGGCAAGGAGTGGGTGGCAGTCACCGAGAGCAAGGTGATGCGTGCTCTGAGGCTGATGTCAAGGCTGACCGCGAACTTGTAGAAGGAGAGCAGTCCGCGGGAGGCTGCCAGAAGAGATGTGAAGAGTGCAGGTGACGCATCAGAGAACATGTTGTTGGAGGGCAACGTCGTTGAAGATGAAATGACAGAGGAAAGGGAGTTGATCCCCATCATAGAGACTCTGAGTGAGATTGAGAGGGGATGAGATAGGTGGTGCTGACCTGGTCTGTGCCAGGAGTGAAGCCTGAAATCCCCGACGGGATCTGTCCTCCAGAGTACTACACTAGCAACCCTGCCAGAGCGAAGAAGCAGTCGAGTATCGTCGTGGAGATTCTTCCGTTCTTGTTCATGTATGTTTCCTGTTAATCATACTCTGTCACTGCGGCGAATGTGATCGGCTGAGGTTTCAGCGGAGACCTTTCGATCGCAAGGGATGTCAACGTTCTAACTGGGTTGGGCATTGACTGTATTCTGAATTGCTGCAGTGAGAACTTTGAGGTACCTTGACAACTCTCTCGGCTCGTCTCTCCTTCCTCAGCTCCTTGCCAGCAGCTCGGATCACATGGACTGCGAAGGTGCAGGCAGTGTCCGTTGGACGACCCCGATACTAGTCTATCGCTCCAGAGAGAAAAGGTATGGACAACCTTTCCACACCATCTCTGCTTTGTCTGATCGTCTTGCAGGCCATGGACAGCATATCCCATGCTAGAAAGGTGACCCTGCAAGGCCCTCACCATGAGGCGCTCACTGACAAGAGCAGAGTGGGGAGAAGGTGCTGCTTGTCTGCAAGGAGACAACAGGAAGCCTACACGTTGCGATCTGCATCATGTGAACGACTGATGTCTTGATCATGTCAAGAAGATGATTCTCCCTGGCAGGTACCTCTTGTGGGAGTGCAGACTCTCTCTCCATCAAGCCATCGCCCTCGTGCAGTTCACCGTCGACAGCATTCGAATCCCACGGAGACTTTGTGTATGCAGTGACCATGCTTGGGCTACAATGATGTGGCTCGCAGAGCTACCTGATCCACTATGAAGCGGTCTTACATGGACGAAACTCCATGATGTTGCAAGACGGATACATCGTCGAGGTAAGGAAGTGAGAGAGGGTTGGAGGGAGGGAGGAGAGGGAGGGAGAAGAAATTGACCTCAAGTCAACAGAAGTTTGAAACGGGTGCCGTGGAGTTTGAAGTACTTTGATAAACGTCCATCTCTCTCGGCATGTCTCTCCTCCTACTTGAGCTTCACCTTAGTGATCCCTTCTGTCGCATTTCTCGCTTGTGTGAGCTCCTTATCAGTCCTTGCAAGCTCTCGTGCTCTGTAGTACATCTTGGGGTGCTGCAAGACCCATCAGGAGTCAGTCGCAACGAGGACGAGAGCGTGAGACGCACCTTACGAACAAGGAACAAGATGTCGTCTATGGCCTGCAAGACCGTCAGCTGCAACCACCAGTGATCATCTGAGACGAACAAGCTTCTTGCCCCGAGCGACGGAGTTTGCAACAGCGCTCTTTGTCTGAAAACCGGCTCAATCCTGAACAACGAACAGCAGCAGCACAAACCATCCTGACGACGAAGTCATGAACGATATCGTCCATAAGATCGACGGTCTCAGGCAGCGGCGCCTTATGATCTCCAAAGCCGTACATCATCTTGCGAACTGCAACATCACATCACCAACGACCAGCCAGCAGGCGAAACTCACGGTCGGGGACGAAGAGTCTCTTTCGTTTGATTTCGTTTTCTTTCACAAACGGCAATGGTGGCGCTTGATGAATCTGCTTTGGATCAGGTCTTGTCAAAGTGCAGTGCAGCAGAAACACCTGTTCTTCCGCCGGGATCGGCAGAGCTTTCAGCATCTGTTGCTGCTTCTGTTGCTGCGCTTGTTGCATCTGCTGCTGCAGCACTTGTCGATCATTCATGGTCGAGGAAGCAGGAGTCCCTCCTTGACCAGGAACATGTCCTGCGTGAGAACATCACGTCCTCTTTCATCTTCACTCACTTACTCACTTGTGGTTACACTGGACTGAACTGCACTTGGCTGGCCTGTTCCATGTTGCAAAGAAGCGTTCTGAACACCTTGGTGTGACATGTTTGCAGGTTTTGATTGTAAATATTGAGATTGTCCTTGCGACATGCCTGGTTGGCTGATCCGCTGCCCTTGTTGTACCGCTCCCATCCCAGCCCCTTGCTGTACCGCTCCCATCCCAGCCCCTTGCTGTACCTGATGCATTCCCCCAGGTTGCTGTATCCTCCCTGGTTGAACATTCTGTTGCATCCCTCCTCCTCCCTGCATACCTCCTTGCATTCCACCTGCTCCTCCCTGCATACCTCCTTGCATTCCACCTGCTCCTCCCTGCATACCTCCTTGCATTCCACCTGCTCCTCCCTGCATACCTCCTTGCATTCCACCTGCTCCTCCCTGCATACCTCCTTGCATTCCACCTGCTCCTCCCTGCATACCTCCTCCCTGCATACCTCCTCCTCCTCCCTGCATACCTCCTCCCTGCATACCTCCTCCTCCTCCTCCCTGCATACCTCCTCCCTGCATACCTCCTGCTCCTCCCTGCATACCTCCTGCTCCTCCCTGCATACCTCCTCCCTGCATACCTCCTCCTCCTCCTCCTCCTCCTCCCTGCATTCCCCCCTGTTGCCCTCCTTGCTGCATTGCGAGCTGAGCGGCTGTAGGATTTGAATCAAACCAAATCAGTCGATCTAAATCGATTCCAACTGAGAAAATGCTTATGGCGGGAACATGCCTGACAGACGCTGCTGCTAGCGGCAGCGATCGTTGAGGACAGGTGTCGGCCTTTTCTCCGCAGCCTGTCTCCCCTCCCCTCACCTCCTTCACAGCATAACCCCCTCTTCTCTTCTCCCCTCCCCTCCCTCATAGTATAACCCCTCCTCTCCTCTCCTCCCTCCCTCACAGCATACCCCCCGCTTCTCTCCTGCCACTTCCCTCTCTCACAGCATACCCCCCGCTTCTCTCCTGCCACTTCCCTCTTTAACTCTGAACAGCCTGCTGCCCAGAGGCCCAGGCTCAACTTCAAGCCATGATGAGCGGGAGGAAGAGAATCGACGTACCCAAGAGGCTGGAGAAGTACTCGGTCCCTACTGTACAGTCCTTCGTACCCAAGTCGACCATCTCGTCTGCAAGAGAAAGAGCAGAGCTGTTGAAGATGGGCAAGAGAGACGCAGTGCAAGAGACTAAGAATGAGCCGGAGGTGGATGAGCCAAAACTTGATATCTTTGGGCTGAGGAGGACAAGCAACTTTGAAGACGAGGAGGATGATCAGGAGGAAGTGGGCGGAAATGCTCACTCGTTCTGGATGCCGGATGCTAGCGTGCCGGCAGAGAAGCCGCAAAGCAGTGGAACTATGACGACAGGAGAGGGGAGAAGGGAGGAGAAGAACAAGCCTCGTGAGATCTTCGACGGCTACCATATATGGCATGAATGGATGTCAAGGACGGCAAACAAGCCTTTCTGGCACTGCAAAGAGACAGGAGAGACACGATGGGAGCCACCGAAACGACAGGCGGTGCAGGACCAGGACAGAGCTCCGACGACGAACCCAGGGAAGGAAGCAGGGGAGGGAGCGTCTGCGAACCTGTTGGACGGAGAGCTGGATGAAGAGGCGAACAGGAGAGCTTTCTTGCAGGCCCTCTACGCCTGGCGCAATGGTGAAGACGTTGCAGAGGAGGCGGGGGGAGGGGGGCAAGAAAAACTCGCAACCCCAGCAGTTGCTCCTCGAACGACAGCAGAGAAAGTCAGGCTGGCCTCCTCCCCCCCTGCCGCTGATTCCACCACACCCAAGCCGCTGCCCAGCCGTCCTGTGCCGCTGACTGCAAGTCTGCATGCTGCAGCTTCCAAGGGACAGGTGGAGATGCTTCGAGACATTCTGAGTCATGCTGGTGCGCGTGCTCAGATGTGCGTCAAGATCTAATTTCTGCGGCAGATGCGGAGGAGAGGGACAGGTTCGGCTCTACTGCTCTTCACTACGCGGCGGGAGGAGGACACTTGGACGCTGTGAAGCTGCTGCTGGGCAGAGGGGCGAAGATAAACTCTCAGAACCATGACGGAGATAGCCCGCTGCACCTCGCAGCGAAGGTGAGCAGGAGGAGAGACGCTTGTCCTCCTCATCGCCGTTTGTGCAGGGCTCGAGCTTCAACGTGCTGGTAGAGCTGCTGGAATATGGAGCTGACATGAGCCTGAAGAACAAGCGAGGCAACGACGCAGCAACGATTGCGAGGATGTTTGGGAGAAGGGACTTTGATACCCTGCTGAGTGCTCGAGCAACGAGGTCAGGAGACTCTGGTGGAGGCGGGAGGAGGGGAGTCGAGAAAGGACAACAAGCACATGCTGACTCAGCAAGTCCTAGAACAGAGAAGGAAGCAGCAGAGGAAGGAGCTGCTGCAGATGAAGTTGATGAGGATGACCTAGCGAGTGCTCGGAGGCAGCTTGAAGCCCTCCGGATGAGAGCCAAGGAGGAGGTCGAGCACAGGTACAGCTCGAGGCCCTCGACAGCAGCGAGCTCGACCTAGAGCTGTACACAGAGATCCGACGATCCCTTGAGGGTCTAGTCGCGAAGTGTGAGTTCATTGTATCCGCCATCCAAAACTCCCCGTGCTTCCAACTTTGCACCAAGACAAAAATGTTGCGCCCCATGTGGTAAACCCGGTTGACTTGCGGTCAAAAATTGCTGGCGCCGACCTCAAGGCAGTGGGTTTGAAAAGAATTGCTGAGGAGCCTCGTAGTATCCGGGCCCCGGGGTACTGTGATTCGACGAATCGATGCTCTTGAGCTGCAGGCGACTCAGCTCCTGCACAGGGGAACAGGAGGACTGCAGACCTTGCCGTGTATGCTGTGCTTAGGGCTCGTGAAGACCCCTCTCCTCGTGCACCCGTAGTCGATGTTGTCTGCAGCAAAGCGTGCAAATCAGCGTCTTGTGAAAGCAGCAGCATGCGAAATCTCACAAGCCCCTGGTCCTGGTGCGAACGTCCGGATTCTTTCCGGGCTCCTGCCATTCTTTCAACCTTGAAGCTCCCTATCACTCTCCTCCATCACCTCGACTTCATCGAGTAGGCAACTGACTCGCCCAGCAGCCGAGCAGCTTTGGGTGTTGGCGAGTAAGCCCCAGGCCCAGGAGTGTTTGGCACATGCCCGTACGCTGAGCCCAAGCTGTGCCTGATGCCGAAGGAATAGGAAGGAGCTGGGGGCCCGTGAGTCAGCAGCTCAGGAGCCTGAGATTGTCGTCACCTCCTCGCTTTCCTCCATTTGTGCTGACAGTCTTCCCGCTGTTCGACACCAACGACTGCATCTTGTCGCTCAGCGGAAGAGAAGCACGAGGAGGGCATGACCGTCACCAAGTCGACGTTGTAGGCTGCTGGCCCAGGGCTTCGTGGCTTGTCGCCTGAGTAGGAGAGACGCTGACCGAAGCCTACAGCTCGTGCCTTGTGCGAAGGGTTCCAGGGAGTGTATGCTCCAGGTCCGGGGATGTATCCCTTACAATTAGTCAGGAAGCTCTCCCTCTCCCTCTCCCTCTCCCTCTCCCTCTCCCTCTCCCTCTCCCAACTGACTAGAAGAGCTTCATCTCGTCCTCTCTAACCTTGTGGTTGGACGTTTCATGCCTGGGGCTGAGCGTGTACCGAGGAGCAGAAGGCTTGTCTGCACTGTTGGGACTGTACGCGCCGGGCCCGGGGGTGTCGGGGATTCTCAACTCGTTCAGTTTTGCTCCGATCGTCTTGCCGACCGACGAAGACCAATGGGAGTACGATCCAACCTGCTCGTGGAGGATGAGAAACATGCGAGGAGGAAACAAGGCCAGAGCAGTGGTGGCGGATTGATCACCTTTGGAGCTTGTAGGAAGCAAACGATGGAATCATCGCGGAAACTGCTCCGAGTCGACCTCAGTGTAGTGGACCCTGAAGAGATCAGGTCAGAGCTGCATCGAGCGAGTGAGGGAGTAAAGAGGGAAAGGTAGGCATCAGCCGCAATTAGGAAGGCTGCTAGTGGAGATTGAATCTCATCACCTGAAGTTCTTGGTCGTCTGTCGGTCTTCATCCCCTGCTTCCCCCAGTTCCGACCTCCTTCTGTCTAATCACCGCTATGAAGGCAATCATTAATAGCTTCAAGAGAAATCAGATATCAGCTGCTCGATATCCTCCGCAATTCCTCTGCCTCTGAGACAGACTTAGGGGATTTCTCGTATTCGTTTTCTATTCGCTATCAGGCTCCTGCATCCTGCATGGCAAAATCGGCCGTTCCGCATTCCTCTTCTCAATTCATGATTAAGGATACTTGCAACATCAACCTCCCCTCCTTCTCTTTCCCCGCCCCTCCTCTCAAGGCCGCTGGACTACTCGGACCCGCTCCTCTTCTCAGACCGCGTCCTACGAGCATCGTGAGACATTGACAAAGGGACGAGGAGGTCTGAGAGGGGGGTGGGTCATTCACCTGCTATGTGCAGGAGGGGTGGATCAAAGTCTCAAGGTAGGGTAGGGGTGAAATCCGGGGTAGGGGTGGCTGGATTTGACCCTTGTTAACATTGGGGCAACAAGGGGGTGGAAAGTTGACAGGTGCTCGAGGTAGAAGAGGAGGGGTAGTCACAAGACGACTAAGGGGGGGTACCGTACTGTAGACGAGGAATGCCGCACTGCTATGATCAGCATTAACAGGGGTGGGGTATCGTCACACATGGTACTAAACATATTAGTCAAGTCTCTTTAGGGGGTGGGGGTCCTCTGTAACATCCTCGAAGATCGAGTCAAACTTTGATAGATGTCAACCGTCGGACTCCCGACCGTTGATGAAAAAAAAAAGGAGGGGCGGGGGCCCGGGTTGACTCCCGGCGGCGCCGGCCCGCCGGTCGCGCCGGGGCTGAGTCGGGCCGGCGCGGCCCGGGGGCGGCTGGCCCCGCCGATCAGATCGGACCCAAGCGGTCCGACGGTCCGACGGTCAATGCCTCTCTCTGAGCAGTGACGCCGATGTCCGGCGGTCCCGGCGGCCGGGCGCTACTTGAACCCGGTATCTATTCGGGGGGCCCGCGGCGCGGCGCCGGCCGCCCCCGCGAACTTCCGGAAGGCTCAAAGACAGTCGGAGCCTCCGTCAACGGTGAAACCGTTTATGAACCGACGCTCGCCGAACTCACGGTGACTCTACTATGCGGGCACAACTTCCGAAGCCGCTTGAAGCGGCCTCGCAAAGCGGCGCGCGAAGCCTTGAAGTTTGCCCTCACTCACTGGCAGTGTCACAGTACGGTCACGGTCACGGTGACGGTGGAGGAGTCGCGGCACAGCCTGCCGCCGCAGTGCCCAGCACCGGGCCCCGGGCAGAGACTCAGCCTGCCGCAGTGCCGCTGCCAGGAGAGTCACCCCACGGCCCGGCGGGCCCTGGCACTCAGTGACTGGTCAGTGACGGACAGCGAACTCGGAACTTCAGTGCTAAAGTTCGCCCATGCCGCCGCAGTGGCGCCCCGGGCGTCCGGCTCGGAGTTGTAGGGGTCCCTCCGAGGGTCAGCGTTACGGTAGGGAGACATTCCGGATGATACCCACTGGGGTGGGTGGTGACAGGTGACCTGGGGGTATCCTCCGACCGCGAGGGGGTGGGGGTGGCCGGGCTCGTGAATCGTCGCCGTTGCAAATGCGGCCCTAAGGGTGCAAGGAGGTGCAGGGAGGGGGTGGGGTGGGGATACAAGAGGTGTATTCCGATGTCGGCAAGGGGGTCAGGTTTTGTAAAGTGGAGGGGTGGGTAGGATGAAAATGAAGTCCGGGGTGGTCAACGGTGGGGTGGTACCGTCGTTGTGGGGAAATTTTGATGCGGTACCAGGGGAGGAAGGCGAGGAGGAGGGAGGAGGCGGACGAAGGAGGGAGGCAAGAGGAAGGAAGGAAGATGAAGGTCGAGAGGAGGAGGGAGGAGAGAGAACAAGGATGAGTCGCGGGGAAGGAAGGAATGGTGCAGAGAGAGAGAGGGACGAAAGGAAGGAGCGAGAGTGTGAGCTAGCGAAGTGAAACGATGGCTGAAACTGCAAGATCAGCTGCAATGAGTTTCAAATTGCATCAAGGGCTGGAAAATTTAATGATATCGATGATGTACACATTCGAACACGTCATAACTGAGTTACATGTGACATGGTTGAGCTTGAAACCAGTATCCGAGTCACTAATTGTACGAGCTTGCAGGACAGGTCACAATGGCAACGCTGGCCGAGGATTCTCAGAACTACGACCTTAGCAAGGATCCGAATGATGGGGAAAGCCTCCTTGCTGCGGGAAAGCTCAACGCCAACCACACGTATAGCAACTCCACCACCTCCTGGAACGGAGCGACCGCAACGCCCGGGTTTCAGATGGGAATGGAGAGCTTCACACGAGGTGATGGGCTCCAAGTCTTGTGCTGCTCGTCCTCTCGACGTGCTTCTCCTGCAACTTCACCTGATCCGAAACCTCAGGATTGAAGGGCGTCGGCATTCGAGTTGAAAGCGATCACAATTCACGGCATGTCGTGAGAGAGATCTTTGCTAACGGCAGCGCAGCTCGAGACAAGAAGCTTGAGGTCGGAGACAGCATCACTCATCTCGACGGCGAAGCCTGTTGCTCCTGACTTGCTTTGTGCTCGCTCCTCACTGCTGGTCCCAGGCGCGGCATGGACGACCAACCAAGTTCGCGAGCGCCTCTTCGGCCTGGCGGGGTCCAAGATCAGGATCATGGCGCAGAAGCAGAGCGGAGCACCACTGGAGGTGACTCTGACGCGAGGCGACCCCGAGTGGTGGGCGTTTCAGGACTGGAAGGACAGGATGCATGCGGACATTGCGACCCGCGAGCAGGAGGTCGACTCCCTCCGCCTCCGTCTGAGGGATGCCGAGAGTCAGAGCTCTCGTGACCGCCAGGAGTTTGACAATCTCAACGCTCAGGTCGGGTTTGACGGCGAGTCAAGTACGACTGACCTGCCGGGTAGATCATGCAGCTGAGCCGACAGCATCGCAAGCTGCAAGTTGACCTCGAGAACGAGATCGAGATCCGCAAGAGGAGCGAAAGCATGCTGACGTACATGTCCAACGAGAAGAAGCACTCCGAAGAGCAGATTGAAAACCTCTTGAACAAGGTGCTTGCAATGAAACTGATGGTAAACTTGTTCATCCGCCCCTGTAGGTCTCAGAAGTCACCCTCAGCTTCAAGAGCGCTCAGGGGCTCGCAAGGGAGATGACGGAGAAGGCGAGGCAGTCGGAGCAGGTCCCTCGACACGGCAGGACTCCGACCTCTCTGAGCTGACGCAGGCGCGAGCGAACGAGGAGAAGCTCCGCAAGGCAGCTGAGACGAGGGAGACGAGGGCGCAGAGTCTGCTGCTAGAGGAGATCCGCAAGGCAAAAGACCTGGAGATCGAGAAGACCATCCTGCAGGTTCGCTCCACTGCCGGGAAAGTTTCCTCCTCTGAACTCACAGACCCCTGTAGAAACGTTCGGACGAGCTCAAGGAGATGGTGGAGAGGTTGGAGTCGGTTGACGTCTCAGGGATCCGACAGCAAGTGCATGTTGCAGAAAGAGAGTTAGAGCTGAGCAAGGTCCTCCTGAGATGACGATGATGCGAGCTCGGTCGTGAATGCTCTTACAGAAAGAGGTCGACCGATATGCGGCGTTTGTCGACAAGATGCAGAAAGACAACTTGTCACTGCACTCTGCCCTAGGGGATGTACAGGTGTGGATGAAGCAGATGCGGGCGATGAGGACTCGAAGCGCTAGCCTGACGCATGCGGCAGTTGGAGAACATGAAGTTGAAGGAGTCCCTGGAGGAGGGCAAGAACAAGATACAGCACCTGGAGACTGCTCTGGAATCTGCGGTCTCAGCAAAGATCGATGCTTTGAAGAAGTATACCTGATTTTCTCGCTTCCTCTCACATCCCTCTTCCCTCCTTTCTCCTCTCTCCTTTGGCCCTCCTCTTCTTGTTGCACTGACGATCGATGCAGCGAGTCAAATGCTTCGGCCTTGCTTTCACAGAAAGAGAACGACGTGAAAGCTGCGGAAGGGAAAATCATGATGCTGGAAAACAACATCAAGTCGCTGCAAGCGGAAGTAGAGCATTACGTGAGCAGGGTAAATGAGAAGACTGCAGACGAGAAGAGGCTTCAGATGGAGGTAACCTGACGCTCACTCCTCTCCTACCTGACATCTTCTTAGTCCCGCGCTCAAATCGACAAGTTGGTTGAAGACCAGAACAAGTCGGAGAGGATGCTGGTCAAGAAGGACCAGGAAGTAGGACACACACGTTCCTCCTCCCTCTTCCCTACTCCTATGTTGTTGTCCCTCCTCCCTCCTCTTTTGTTTTGCTGCTTCCTCTCCCTCTCCCTCTCCCTCTCCCTCTCCCTCCTCTTCTTCCTCTCCTCTCCTCTGCCTCCTGTGTTCCTCTGCCTCTGCCTCTGCCTCTCCCCTCTCTTCTCAGAGATCCTCTTCCCTCCTCTTCTCTCCTCTGCCTCTGCCTCTGCCTCCTCCGCCTTCCTCCTCCTCTTTCGTCCTTCTCCTCCCTCTTCCCTCTCCTCCTCACGAGTTACTAGGTGCGAGGCCTTGAGACCAAAGTCGCGGCGCTCAACGTGCAGGTGGAGGATCTGAAGCAGGAGGTGCTGGAGCTGGAGGCCGCCAAGAGCAAGCTGCAGTCTCTTGTCGTCACCAAGACGCGCGAACATGCGACTCAAGTGTCAAACTTCCAGCTGGAAGAGAACATCCTCCGAGAGAAGTGCTTTGCTCTCGAGAGTGACTTGAACCGTTGGATCAAGCACGACAAGGCGCAGCAGGAGAACATGGCAGACTTGGAGCATCGGATCGACGACATGAACAAGCAGATTAAAGATCTCAAAAATCAGATCCACCAGGACAACAAGCAGATCATCGCTCTGGAAGAGGTCAAGAAGACGGTAACCGAGAAGTTTCAGATGGACAGGAATTTGACCTTGCCGGTAGCTTATGGCAGAGACTAGCGAGTACTCCAAGCAAGTAGCCAACTTGCAGTATGAGGTAGCACGATCTGAATGTCGCGAGCCGTGACTGTCGTCAGGTGTTGATCCTGAAGCAACAAGGGGAAGCCATGAAGCTCTCCGAGACGAAAATGGAGGAGAGAAGCAACAAGCTCATCAAGGAGGTCTCTCCTCCACGCTGCTCACTGCGGTCTCACACCTTTCAGGTTCACGAGCTCCAGGACGAGCTGCACACCAGGAGCATGGCATGCAGCGCTCTCCAAGACAAGTGCGTGCTCCTTTCCCGCGCGGCTCTTTGACCTCTTCCCCCTCAGGATCGACATGTTGCAAAAGGAACTCACGAGGATCCCCGAGCTCAGCGACAAGCACGCGGACGCGGTGGTTCAGGTCCGGTCCTTGGAGGAAGCGTTGAAGACCATGAAGCTCGAGAAGGAGCGGGTGAGAGTCTGGGCTCTAGAGCCTTCTAGCAGCTGAGTTGAGGTAGGCCTTGGAGATGCTGGACGCTCTGAGAAAGGAGCACGAGCTTGCTCAACGGCAGTTCGAGGGCTTCAAGAGCGAGTTGCACAAGCAGAAGGCGCTAACCCAGGAGTCCTCCAACAAGACCCAACGCCAACTGCGCGAAGAGATCGCAGCTTTGACGAGCGAGAGAGACGACCTAGCTGCCGAGCTCAACAGGTTCCCAGCTCTGTGACTACTACCCGGTGACCTTGTGGCGTCAGATTCTATGCTCTGCCCTCCCCCTGTGGCATCGGGATGGGCATCTCCGAGGTCCTGGAGCATTCGACCCGCATCATCACGGTGACGCCTCTCCTCTCCTCTCCTCCTCCCCTCGTCTCGTCTCGTCTCGTCGCCTCTTCCTCTTCCCTCCCTCCTTCCCGACTCATCAGCTCGCAGGTCTCCGACCTCGCTCCGGGGCAGTCAGCGCAGCTTTCAGGAGCCATCAGGAAGGGCGACGAGCTTGTGGCGGTTGACGGTGTGCTTGCTGCTGGCCAGACGTTGGACGAGCTCAAGGGAAGGATAGCTGGGAGGAGAGGGTCCAAGGTCCATCCCTTCCTGCTCTTGTCAGCTCCTGACGACCCTACAGCTCACCCTGACCCTCAAGCGAACGTCAGCGGAGGATTCCTTCCGCAACGGCAGAGAGTTCAGCGTGACCATGAAGCGGGGCTGCTTCGGTCCTGAGCATTGCATCATGGAGGGGGAGGTGAGAGGTTCGGGCGGAGATTCAACTCAAGGCTGACAGATCACACAGTGAGGAAGACAAGGAACGGAGGAAGGAGGAGGAGGAGGAGGAGGAGGAGGAGGATGAGAAGGTCAAGGACGACAATGGATGGATAGATGGATGTTTTGTCTCAGGATTCTAATCAACGATAGCCAACGCCTCCCATAAAAGTGCTCGGGTCTGGCACTTGACCGTTGAAATCTGCTCCCGAGAAGTCGAAGCCCGGATGCTCTTCCTGCACGCACAATCATGAGGGAGAGAGGAGGCACGACAAGCAGAGAAGAGAGGAGACAAGACGGGAGAGCTGGGGGGGAGTGTAGGAGCAGTGGCTGGGAGTGGAGGCTACCTGGAATCTCTCTCTCATGATGTCTTTCCGCACCTGGAGCAAACATCACCTCCTCCTCGCTGCACTTTCTCTTCGTCACCTCAGTGGCAGTTACAGGATCTAGCGGCTGATGGCCTTGCAGTGCGCTTTCCCATGGCACCTAATTTGTGTCTCTCAGCAGGCAGCCAACCTTGTTACACATGCTCTTACAGCTTTCGCCATCTTCGTTAATGTGATGTGGATCTCCTTTCCTCCTCCAAGAACGTCCTCCAGCGTCCAGTAACTCTCTGTATGCTTACACTTCCCGCCGAGATCATGCTGCGGCAAGCAACAGCGATCAGAGGAGCCTGGGAGCAGAAGAGGAGGAGGGTACGTTGAGGTACTTCTCAGTGTTGCCCTTGATGCCAACTGTGATGTGGCTCGACTTTATCTCTATGTCGAACATGTCGGCCGTGACGCCAGGAGGAGGAGTGATGTATATGTTGACCTCATCCAACGATTGCTCCCACTCATAGACGAGCTGACCTGTCAGCCTAACTCACATTCAGCATGTCCAAGATTTATGGACACCATTGTGATAGTGTTGCTTCCGTCGCTTGTATTCCTTGTTCTCCTTCGTCTGCTGGATCAGCCCAGCCTTCATGGCCATCTCCGGATGTTCTCTGACCAACTCATCTTGTGCCGACTTGGGTAACGCGCTTGCCGGCATGGCTTGTGCACCCTGTTGTTGACCACCTGGGCTTCTCTCCTCCTGCAAGCAAACTTATCAACTTGGAAGAGATCTCTTCCTTTGCCTTCGGGCGCCCCATCTTAAAGTATCTCCATCAATTCCTCTGCTCCCCTTCTCTCCTGCTCTCCTGCCCTCCGGCTCTCCGGCTCTCCTGCTCTCCTGCTCTCCCGTGCTCCTGCTGTCCTGCTGTCCTACTGTCCCGATCTCCTGCTCTCCTGCGCTCCCGATCTCCCGTGCTCCTGCCCTCCTGCTCTCCCGATCTCCTGCTCTCCTTATCTCCTACTCTCCCGCTCTCCTGCTCTCCCGCGCTCTTGCTCTCCTGCTCTCCTGCATTCCTGCTGTCCTGCTGTCCTGCTGTCCTGCTCTCCTGCTCGCATGCTCGCCTGCCTCTTCCTCACCCCCTGGCCTCTCACCTCCTCATCGTCGCTGTCTTGGAACTTGTCCCACTTCGAGTAATCCACCATGGAACTTCTGGCTCATCCACCCCCACCCCCTTCTTTTACCACTAATTCTCCCTCCCCATGAACCATTCTACCCCTACCCCTCCATAGTCCCAAACAAGACCCCCACACGCCGGTGACCGTATCGGCACTCAGTACTCATGAGTCACCCGCGGCGTCCGATCCGGCGGCCCGGCCGGGTCCGATGATGGCGGCGCCGGGGCGGCCCCGGCCCGGCGGCCCCCGCCGGGTTCGGGCGCCGGGTCACGGTTGCGGCCACTGACCGTACAGAGAGTCCGTGCAAGACTTGGCAAGTTGGGTCGGCACTCATCCGAGTGACCGGGACGGTCCGGGCCCGGCCGGGCACCGCCGGGGCACCCGGGCAGGCTCCGACCGTACGGCGGCCGCCCGGCCGGCCCGGGGCCGGATGACTCGTCGGACGCCGGGGCCGGAACCCGCCGCTGCCAAAGTTTCAACTTTGGCCTGAGTGCGGCTGGGTACCGTTGGCACTGAGGCAGGTGGCCCGGTATAAGGTGACCGCACCGGCGTCACGATCTTTACTCACACAGATCGCTTGGGCTTGCCAAGTCAGTTGGTAGTATCTCAATAGTATCTCGCCAACGACCCCAAGCCTAAAGAAGTCTTCTCGGTGGGATTGTCCGACTTGCTCCAGTGAAAAGATGTGTTTTCGCAGGGAGATTCCTTTGTCCCGAATCCTGCACGTCTCTTTCTTGTGGGCCCCGCCTTCCCGTCCTTGAACGCCTTCCCATGAGCACACCAGCCGTCATCTTCGTCTCTCCCCGTCCTCGCGAGCATCTCACTTCTGCTGACCCCCCACCTCAAGTTGCTCTGAGCTCTTCGACTCTTGAGCCGCTCTTTCACTTGCCGCAGGACGCAGCAGCAAAACGACTGGTAGGATCCACCGACCCTTTGTTCCCTTTCCCTGCTTACCTTGTTGCAGGGCGTCTCGCTGACCAGCCTGAAAGCTGCATGCCAAAAGATCGGCATCATGCGATGGCCCTACTCCCGATGGTCGCTGGAAGTGCGTTCGCCTTCAGCCTCCAAGTCACCCCCAAACTCAGAAGAAGTTTCCAATGAGGAGATGGAGAAGAAGGCTGTAGATGTAGAAGATCAAGAAGATGACTGGTTGATGCAGCAGATGCTGCATCAAGAGGAAGAGGAGGGCTGGTTGGATTGGTACCGAAGTTGCGATCTCCACGATGACAGTGTGTGGATGGGACAACAGAAAGAGTCTTTGAAAAATTGATGTGGCCAACATATAGATTGTGAGGAACCATACTTGTTTTTGTCTTTAAGAAAATGTTTGTAATATTTTGTTTTGGAATGTCTCTAATGAAGCTTGAGAAACTACAGAATTTTGCTCAATTCCAATGAGAATTTACTAGCTGGATCGAAAGAGTTTGTGAAGTTCAAAGAGTATTGAATCTTGATCCAATGCAGCAGAAAGCTGAAATTTTTTCATCGATGAATTTATCTTGCTTACGATTATGAACTTCTGAACGTAGAGAATTTCTTCATAGAATGATGCCACGGGGGCATACACTGGTTATAGTATGCAAAAATATTACTAGCAATATCTAAGTTCTGTGCAGAGGGAATCAAGTATCTGTCTTTCAGTTTGACATAGTCTCGGCTCTTTCTAGAATGGATAAGGGAAATTTTAAGCATCGTTATGATTAATATGATCGTGTTTGGTCAGATGATGATGGTTGACAAGTTTATCTAAAACCCAGGGAAGCAGGTGTGGAACATAAGTAATCAATCTGAAAGCACACAGCAGACATTGAACATAACTTGAGCCGACTAAATAAGATATCAAACATTCGCATGTCAGTGAAGACTGAAGCTAAAATCAGGATCAAAATAGACATTCAGGATACAACCGAAGGCAATTTTATTATCATGCTCGAAAATTACAAAGATGGAATAATGGTGATCACAGTGACTCGACCAAAGGGAGATCCTGGAAGTAAAGGGAGAAAGCAGGGTCTAACAGGTTGCATGAACAAGTGTAAATCTGAAATCAATCTGAGAGCTACGATGACAGGAAAGCTTGAAAGTTCGTCATTATCTCATCCAGAAGAATATCCTGCACAGTGCTCCCCAGCTTGCCTAATCTCCTTCTTTAAATGCTAGGCTTATCTCGGCGATGGTGAAAGCTTTACTGGCAGGAAAGAACAACCTTCGCGCTTTCAGACAACTCTGCTAAGACACTTGTTTGATCACCAGCAGTTGTGGTTCGTTCATCAGGGATGTATTGATCAGGGATGTACTGATCAGGGATGTATCATATTGATCAGGGATGTATTGATCAGTACTGGTCTTTAATTAACTTTGATCAGGGATGTATTGATCAGGGATGTATTGATCAAGGATGTATTGATCAGGGATGTATTGATCAGGGATGTATTGATCAAGGATGTATTGATCAGGGATGTATTGATCAGGGATGTATTGATCAGTACTGGTCTTTAACTTTGATCAGGGATGTATTGATCAGGGATGTATTGATCAGGGATGTATTGATCAGGGATGTATTGATCAGGGATGTATTTAACTTTGATCAGGGATGTATTGATCAGGGATGTATTGATCAGGGATGTATCATATTGATCAGGGACGTATTGATCAGGGATGTATTGATCAAGGATGTATTGATCAGGGATGTATTGATCACTGAGGGATGTATTGATCAGGGATGTATTGATCAGGGACGTATTGATCAGGGATGTATTGATCAGGGACGTATTGATCAGGGATGTATTGATCAGGGATGTATTGATCAGGGATGTATTGATCAGGGATGTATTGATCAGGGATGTATTGATCAGGGATGTATCAGTCAGTACTAGTGATCACCTGTTACTGTCTCAGGCTCGGTGGCTCAGAGTGATGGGTCCTAGGACTTATTATTGCCTGTTGCAAAAAGCCTTTCCTGGCTAAGACCCCCCTAAGAATCTTTGATAGAACCAGGGTCCTACAAACGCAACTTTTGTTTTCAACATCCACCCCACCACCTCCCATTATATGACCCACCCTCCCATGTTAACATCATGACTCTCAGCTTACCACCCACCCCTTCCTCCATGGTCCTTACACCTTCTCCAGTACCTCCGAATCTTATATCACTGATGCCAGTACCCACCCCCTGGTAATTACATCACTGATGCAAGTACCCACCCCCTGGTAATTATATTACCATGTTTCCCATCAGGATGCATTCTGGCTGATCAGGAACCGACCCTCTGAGTGACACAATTGTACCCCCCCTATGAGCCTCAT